TTTATCTATCTCAACGGGAAATTTGACCAAGTTAACCAACTGATTCGAGCACCGGGCCACTTCAAAATGATGTTGTTTTCAACAATTCATATATGTAGCTATGCTGTCATATCATCCTTTTACTTATCACAGAACCCCACAACATGAAGCATCACAGACCAAGTTCGACTATCCCATTGTCTCTTCTTCTTGCTTTATATTCGAGAGCCTACAATAAAAGACCAAACCATCTCAAAACCATCATAATCCCGAAATTTCATTTTTCTCCAAGTGCACAATCATAAAGCCGGTCGACCTCATCTCATAGAAATAAGAAGCAAAAATTATTAGAGAACCATGCATTTGAGTTAAAACTTTGTATGACTAACAGAGGCCAAATTCCTCATTTTAATTATTGTTTAATACTTAATTAAATTCCTATATATATATATATCTTATAAATAGAGGATAAATTAAAATCGTGGCCTAAGTATCACTAGTTTGAATATTCCATATCGAATTGCAGTATTGAATATGTAAAAGTGATGTATAATTCTTAAATGAGATCTACCATGGCACAATCGTATTCATATCTTCGTGTAAACTATATGAGACTGATTCTTTGAACATTTTAGTTTGCCTAACCGTCAAATTTTAAACTTCTTCCTATTCTGACATGATTGGATTCAGCAATCATTAAGAGTTTAATAATTTGGTTCATTTCACCTTTTTTAAATGTGCTAATAAATTTGTAGGGAAAGGACATGTCTTTACATACACTCTACACAATATATAATACTAAAATGAGAAAATTGTTGTCTCATTTGAAATTTCTTACAACGAGAGTGAAAGTAGAAATGATATTTTTGCTTCACAATTATTTTTCGGAAACTATAAACTTCCAAAACTCAGAAATTGTAGCTCAAACTAAAAAATCAGAGCATCGAAAATCAAAGTTCGCAAATTTTATTTCATATATCACTTATTCGAGAGATTTTTCTTTCTATAAACAAAGTAAAATGAAACAAGTTATAGCCAAATCAACAGCTTTGGCTCGAAGACGATGACTCGCTTCTTCGTGGGAGGAAAGGAATACATGCGGTGCCATCAAAGATCTACAGAGCAGTTCTTAAATGAGGACTGTAAAATAGATCATCAAATCACGGGCTTGTGGCCAAATAAAAGGATAAGAGGTTAGTTAGATGACTGATGATATAAAATTTGCCAATTTGGTACATCTACAGTTGATCTCCAGCGTCGACTTAGGAAACAAAGAATCGAAGGGGAAGAAACGATGCATGGGGGGTGGATAAACAAATTGAGTGCATGCGGGTGGATAAACGATGCATTCATTTATCTTTTCCTCTTAAAAAATAAAACTAAAAACTTCAATAAAAAACAAAAAATAGGATCGTAAACTTTGGTGGGTTTCTATTCAACTTTTGAAGTCTGTTCCCTTTTCGGGCTTAATCATATTATTTAAAACTATTATCCTACTAAAATTATTATATTTTTATTTTTCCGCTGCATTGTTGTAATATTTTGACTAAAAAATGTTAGTAAGTTAAATGATATATTAATTAAAATAATATAAAATTCACGCTCTTTCGGCGCACTCAAATTATAATTCTCAAAGAATATACGCTCTTGCTCTCCCATTCTAGCTCCTGCTCTGCTAATTGGTAAGCTGAATCCGTCGAGTCAATTCTGTAAACAAAGAGACTACTACCAGAATTCGTCTTCCATCACATATTGCCTTCCCTCGCAAGCACCCCCATGCTCAATTCTCACTTGGCCATTCCTCATTAGTTTCACATATGACAAACACCAACGTCATAGGAGTGCGACCTTCGTCGCGTGATGAATACATGTTGTTGCAGTGCTTTTTAGGAGCTCGAAGGAGGATAGCGGAAAGTAGCAGATAGAGAAACAAATGTAGATAATTCGGGCGAGGAAGAATATTATCCATATATAGATGAGATTTTATATAATTTATAAATATATGAACAATATAATGACTTCTTCATATATCCGGGAAAAAGCATACTAAAATGAATGAACCATTAACCCTCAACCCACTTAATCGACTGGGCCAATGGGCTAAACAAGGCTGACAACCTTTGATCTTTAAAATCCATATATTCTAAAAAATTTGGTGTTCCAATTTTTATGATTGAGTCAAATCGATCAATAATTGTGGATTTTCAGAGAGTGGTTGAAATTCAAAAGTCGGTCTTCAAGTTTCTTTCGTGACTGACAAGTTTTTGCGTTTAATTATTGTTGGGTAGAAGGAAGAGAAAGCGGAACAGATGGAGAATGTGACTGTAGCTATTGCAGATGGAGAAGATAAACCATAAAAGGGGCTAAATTTAATTTGATAATGCTTATATACTATATATTACAAGAACATGTTTGATTTGAAAAGTAATAGAGGGATAGATTTGAGAAAAATGGATAATAGAGTGACAATTTATGCTATTAACTCCACATGGAAAGTCAAAGAGTATATTGGTAGAGTAGAATTTAAGCTTTTATAATGTTTTGATTCTCTTAACTTTGGTACGTGCATTAGTATATAACACTTAACAACCCCCACTTATTATTCAAACAAACAAATACACTAAATCATAATAATTTATACAATAAGCATTATTTTTTCGTATTCTTCCAAATTTGAGATTTTGAGGCATAATATTTTCTTTGATCTCTTGATTTTTTTATGTACCTTCAATTTCTACCAATTCTAGATGACATATATTTCCTTCCAACTCCAAATTTATATCCGATAATAAAAAGTTCACAAATTTCTTCTAAGATATAGGGGAAAAAATACAAAACAGTAAACTAGGACGACTTGATAAAAAAAATATTAAATAATTATTACTAATGTTATAATCAACAAATACCATAAAGATCACTTTAAAATAATGAATTAGCTATTTTAGAAAATCTCAAATTATTTTAAACATGAAAAAATTGATCAACATAAAACAAAATTCATACGACCAATGGGTCAGGTAAATATTTTAAATATAATTATAAATTAACCAATTTAAAATATAAAATAAAACTCATTCGATCAAGGACCGAGTAAAAGCTAGTTTCTAAAAATAGTAATCCGTCTTCATAAATCCCCAAATTAAATCACATGCATCTCCTAGACGTGACCCAATTTTTAAAATTATGAAACCCAAAAAACAAACATATTCAGAGGCTCGAAAAAATTAAAGCAACTTAATCACGTTTCTGGAAATTCCTTGCAACTTTAGTGACCACCCAAAATCTGTCACTAAAAGCCTGCAAAGTCTGTCGCTAAAATTCCAGAATTGCACCCTCACGAAAAATCACCAAATTGATCGATCTAACTCGAAGGGATCGAGTTCCCTTACCTTTAAAATGTGCCTAGGACTAGATTGGATGACCCGAGACGTTGATCTCCTCGTTGATCGATGTTCGAACCCTCAAACCTCACCGAAAACGCTATAGTACAAAAATACGAGTTTCGGGTTAGATTGTTGATTAATCGAGTTTGGAATCGCGAAATGGTTCGTGATCCTTACCTAGAAACACGAAAGATAAGGGATGGGGAATCGGTGTCGGGTACAGGGAGCCGACGACCCTTTTCTTTTCCTTCTTCTCTCTTCTCGCCCAACTGCTGCTCGCTTCTTCCGTCGGCTGTGGGCGGCGCGGCTGCTATCTCCTTGTGGGGGAAAGGTTCCACCGAGAGAGACGTGAGATGAGTAGGGCTGGCTATTTGGACCGGGACCGGATAAAAAACCGGAAACCGGACCGTATAACCCGGACCGAGACCGGACCGGGACCGGATAGTAAACAATCCAATCCAATCTTTGGGCTTAGATTTGAGGTAAAAAACCGGATAAAGACCGGATAAGAGAGCTCAACACCCAAAACTTAAGGGTAATTTGCATAAACGGTCACAAACCTTTACACTTAGTACAAAACTTAACCAACTCCTCACCCTTTTAGGCCTTAGGCCACTCAAATTCCCACAATCTCAATATAAAATCAAGACCGAATTGGGACCGGACCGGGTCAAGACCGGACCGGATCAAGACCGGACTGTATCCAATCCAATCTTCGGTCCTTTTATTCTCAAAAAAACCGGACTGGACCGGATCAATTTGGGCCAATTTAACCGGACCGGACCGTATAGCCACCCCTAGAGATGAGGGGGTTTCTTGGGGGTGGGGAGTGTGTCTGCGTGGGGGAATTGAGAATAAAGGAGCCGCTCGACCTCTTTTGGCCGACCTCATTTATGTATTTTTTTCAATAATAGTAATAATAATATAATAGTAATTATTATTATTATTAGTATTCATAGTCTGTGGTTGCAACCCTTCGTATGTAACCGTTAATCCAACCGTTCACGCATTTTGGTCAAAACCGAACTCAAAGATCGGGGTGTTACATTTTTTCCACCCTTATAAAAATTTCGTCCCCGAAATTGGAACTGGAAGGATAACTACTTAAATTAAATTAAACTTATGGTGTTTGACTAAAACTTCTCAAGTTAGAATATAATAGGATGTGAATAAACTCAACAACTCTTTCTCTTCCTTCCTTTCTCCCCCAACCGCCAACCCCATTTGATTTCTCATCTCTCTATCGCCCCTCCTCCTCTGATTTTTTGCCCCTAGAAACCCATAAGACATGAATTCTCTGTCGCTCGATTCCACCCCTTCTTGTCTCTCTTGTTCCTTTTGTCGGCAACGGTGATGATAGAATAAGATCTCGCATCTGACAGGGCGGCGCTTTTCGGTCTCCGCAGTGCTGTCGGCGTCTCGGCGATAGATCTCCCTTGTGGAACTTGACCGACACTTCCGTAATTGGGCCGTTTTTACATGCGCTGACAACAGAGTTGTTAAACTCCATTCCCCTGGGATGGGTCTCTCTGGGGAGCTCCCTCTCCGACTTGGCAACCTCACCCAGCTCAATCCGTTTCAACGCGCTCAGGGGGAGTGTTCCGGCCGACATCACAAATATTGGTTTGTTTAGGAACCTCTATTTGCAAGGGAACTTCTTCTCTGACGAGATCCCGACTTCCTGTTCGGCTTGCAGAACTTGGTGAGGCTAAATTTGGCAAATAATAACTCCTCCGGACCAATCTCCCCAGGCTTGAACAAGTTGACTCGGTGATGGGCATGGGTGTCTTGTGCGGGAAGCTTCACCGTAGGGACTTCAACCACGCCAACTGCACTGCCCTGCGTTCCTGCCACGAGCGCATCCGACTCCAAGGTTGGCGGACTCGCGACGCCGTCACGGTGACTTAGATCCACGCCGTGGAGGAAGACGACCCCGCTCGCATCGTAGACTAGAGCTTGTACGACGACGGTCGCGTGGTGGTGTAAGAGATCTTCCTCACGAGGAAGGAGTGGGAGGAGGATGCCCGGCGATGGCTGTTGGAGAGGCTGGTTGACCTCATCGGCGGCAACCACCTATGAGACGGTCGGTTGTGTGATTGTCGACTGGATGGTTATTCACATCCTAGGTGGAAAATGTTAAAACATTAAATATTATTTATTTTATTATTTTTAATTGTCATGTCACTCATTTAACAGTCAACTCTTAAGAAAAAATTAACGTAGTTGGACGAAGAGTGAGCAAATTTGAAGTATTTAACTAATGTAAGTGACCACGAATAGAATTAAATATTTTTAGTGACCAAACGTGAACGTTTTTAGTAATCTCAGTGGCCAACCTTGCAATTAACCCAAACGTTTAAGCAAACTTGGGTCGTTTGGATGGAACATTCTCAAAATGAGGCAATTTGGAACAAAACTCTCATTTTAGAAAATGAGCTAATTGTATGAGGAAATGTTTACATAATTGTCTTGTTTGGCTTGTGATTTGGCATGAGACAATTGCGATGATGCATTTTCTGAAAATACATATTTGCCCTCGTACTTTTGCCCTTCTCCATCTTGGGAAAAGGAAGAAAGAAAAAAAATAGTAAATAAAGGGGTTAGATTGGGAAAAGTGACCCACAAAATGGAGTAATGTAGATTACCTCCCTCCCACCCAAGTAATTGTGATTGACCCATAATGAAGCAATTTCAATTATCTCATGTCCAATTGCCTCATTCCTACTTTTTGCAGCCAAATGGGATAATTTGGCCCAATTGTCTCATTTTGAGTCAATTGGAGCACATTGACTCATCACTTTGATCCATCCAAACGACCCTAAAAGTATTTGGAACTACTTCAGCAATAGGATGACAGTGGCTTACCCTAACATCATGTTTCACTGTTGGCTCTCGACTAATCTCAAGGACGAGAACCATAGAGTTGTTTTCGCTATTATCTGCTGGCTACTATAGAAGCAAAGAAACGAAGAAGCCCGGGATGGACAGTCCTTCTTGGTAGGGGTGGGCATCCGGTTCGGGTTTGACTCTCCGAACCGAATTTGACCGAACCGAAACCGACCGAAACCGAAATTTATGTTATTAGGTTCGGAATTCGGAAAGAGAAAAGCCAAAATTCGGAAACCAAGGTCACACAACCGAACCCGATTTCCGAACAGCCGAACCGAAAACCGAAATTACAAAATTAATCACAACATTTTAGCCCATAGACAAAGCCCAAAACCCACTCCCCCACTGACCACAATCCACTCTCGGCTCTCCCCAGCCCAGACCTCACAAAACCCTAAGTCCAACCCTTATGCTCTCTCAACTCTAACCTCACACCCTTTACCCTTATCCCTATCCCACAACCACCGCCCACCGTGCCGCCACCTGCTCTAAAGCAGCCACCACAGACCACACAAACGTCCTCGCCGACCGCCGTGCTTCTTCCATGGCTCACCGCACTCTCTTCTCCGCCGCGACAAATTCCTTCTCCACCTAAAATCGAAAACAGAGAAGATCTATTGAAGCTCGACGGAGAAAAGCAAACCCCAAAACAGTTCATGCATGTTTAGATCTGACCCATACTCACCTCTAACCTTCGTCGTCGGTCATCACCATCGCCGACATCCATCGCCGTTGCCGCCAGCGTCGTGCACCGCCGTTGCCGCCAGCGTCGTGCACCGCCGTTGCCTCCAGAATCGTGCACCGCCTTGCTGCCTGCCGTTGTCAATCGCTGAGTTGTGCTTTGCTTTGAGCTTCACTCGCCGGTCGTTGTTGCGTTTGGGTAGATCTGTTGTCGTCAATCGTTGTTTGGGTAGAGAGAAAGAGAGGGATTGGGTAGAGAGAAAGAGAGAGGGAGATGGAGAGAGAGGGGACCAGAGTGGGGGAAAAAAAGTTTCAGATGAAAAAGCCACTGGATGCATTTTAATATAAATGTCCGGTTTGGTCGGGATCCCGGACCGAACCGAAATATAATCCGGTTCGGACAATCCGAACCGAATTATATTTCGGTTCGAGTTCGGTTTTGAGTTTGAAGCATGTGGAAGACCCGGTATCCATCTTTTCGGTTCGGTTTGAACCGAACCGAACCGATGTCCACCCCTACTTCTTGGAACCAGGTCTGATCATTAACATCAAGGCTTGGTTATCATTTATCGTCAGGCTCATGAAAACTTTGTGAAGATCAACAACATCAGCATGGCAAAGCGGATATCATTGCATAACACTTGGGACTCCTCTGAATGAAGGCTGGGTCCAAGTTCAGATCGACAAATCATTTCTCCCTCAAACAGGTTATGCATCAGCTGGCGGCTGCTCAAAGACCACCTTGGCATGTGCAAAGAGACCTTCGTCTGCAACTTGGGCATGTGTTTTATCACAAGGACAAAGTTGAAACGGTGCGGGCGAAGGACTCCACATTGCTTGCGGAAAGAGGTTATAGGAAAGTGGAGTTGGATCTAAACTCGACAACGACCATCGATCTCATCAGGAATCCCAAGGATAGCAACCACCACCATGGGTTACTAGTGCAACAAATTGGCTTACTTCTTAATTATAATTGGGAAGCAGCGATTTCCCATGTTTTTAGAGAAATCATTTTTGCTATCGATTTCTTGATTTGTAAGGGTCATGATGCACATTTGACACACATTTGTTCGGTGTGTGCGACCCAAACCTTAGACATTCGCTCATGTTTGATATTATTGGAGATTGTTATATTGATATGAATTAGGAATGCTCTACCATCCATCCATCTTTTTACCCCAAAAAAAAAAAAAAAAAAAACTAACACCAGGACCTAATTGTTTATAACAATTACTAGACGAGCTCACTGTTTAGCTGTTAATGAAAAACAGAAGAAGAAAGAAAACCTGCAACTTGTTAATCCAGTAGCCCCAACGGCTAGTCAAGACCGGAACCCAGCCAGCGGCTCCCAGTTCATCTCCCGAACCTAAAATACCAAACGACCGTTGCGCCGAACCTGAATTTTAAAACTTCATCTTCCTCTTTCCCGTCTCTCATCTTCCGCCCCTCTATTCTCTTCCCAAACCCAAACTTCTCTCTGTTTCTGTAATTCTTTCCTCGCCCCGCCTTCGGGAAAAAAAATCAAGAATAAGCTGCAAAAAGACAAAATTGTACAAGAATGGTTCGCAAGAATTGCAAGAGATCTCCGGCCAAATCCATCAGAGACCTCCGCAGCCACCAACGGCGGCGCCACCTCCACAACCGGAAAAGGAACGGCGGCGACGGTAATGCCCCCAACAACGGCAAAGACGCTTCTTCCGCTTCCTGCTCAACCGCCCTCCTCTCCACCATCAGCAGAAAGGCTTCGAGATGCAAGAACCGCCTCATCAGAATCTTCTCCAAACTGGCCGCCTTCGTCGACACTCCCAAGACCGGCAGCCGCTACAGAGGCTACCAAATGTTGAAGGACCGGCTGGGAGGGAGCCACGACGTCATCGGAGCTGAATGCTCTGTTCGCAAAATCCTCTGTTTTGAAGACCCCTTGCCGCCGTCGATCTCCCCCAGCAAGCCGACGGTGTTCCTCGACCTGGACGAGACCCTGGTCCATTCCGTTGCCAACGACCCGCCGGCGAACTTCGATTTCATTGTCCGGCCGAGGATCGGAGGCACCTGCGTCACTTTCTACGTCTTGAAGCGGCCGGGGCTGGATGAATTCTTGGAGGCTCTGGCGAAGAAATTCGAGCTCGTGGTGTTCACCGCCGGATTGGAAGAGTACGCTTCCATGGTTTTGGACAATGTGGACAGGAAGAAGCTGATTTCTCACCGGCTTTACCGCGATTCGTGCAATCAGGTGAACGGGATGTATGTGAAGGACTTGTCGAGGACTGGGAGAGATTTGACCAATGCAGTGATCGTTGATGATAACCCCAACGCCTATTTGCTTCAGCCGGAGAATGCGATTCCGGTGAGGCCCTTTGTCGATGATCTTTGGGATGCAGAGTTGGCGAAGCTTGGGAAGTTTTTCGATGGCTGTGATGGATTTGGTGATATTAGGGATGCTGTGAAGATGTATGTTAGTAGTGGAAGAAATGAGGCCGGTGAAGATATGGCGATTTCATAGTTAGGTGGGGGGATCTACTACTGGTTTCTCGACCAGCTCGATTGAATTTGGTTTTCCGAACTTTTTGTGTGGTTCTTTGTTTCTTCTTCTCTGTTTTTGAACAAACTCTTGTTCAAATCCTCTGAAGAAACTATGGATATTAACTAATGAAATTCATCTTACATTTCCCCCCCAATGTCCATTGTGTAATTTTTAGCTAATTCTACTCTTTTACTTGCCCATTACAATCTGTAATGGCCATCCACAGACAGAAATCAAAACGTTAACTGCCAATTTCAACTGCAGAAGACTCGAAATTTGGGCAGAACTAGCGATAAGAGCCAGTTCCCAACATTTACTTGTAAGATTGCCCCACATCTACTCAAAGAACTCGCAATCCCAGATCCTTCAACATCCCAAAACCAATTTGCTTTCAGCAGATTATCATTTTCGTAAACTGTGATTAACAACTAAAACAATGAGATTCCAGTTCAATCACCTCATCTGCTCCGCCATGGCATAAAGAATACAAAAACAGAGTACCCAGCTGAACAATTTTCAGTGAGTAAAATCATGGATTCACAAAAATTAGATCATCGTCCATGCCCACATTAGTGAGAAGCAAAGCTACAAAATTCCAGCAATCAAAACCCTAACAACACAGCAACCCACAAAGTAAAGGCGGCTCTTTTGGAGAATTTCACATCGTAAGCTCCTAAATACAGAGAACTTTTTCTCCAGAAAAAGAGAGTGTGAAATTGCAAATCTCATCAATCGCAGACAAAGACCTGCTGAGGGAGCTTCCAAGCTTCGAGCTTTCTGAAGCACATGTCGTCCAGAGCATCGCTCCGGCACCACTTGCACTTTGGGTTCTGGGAGCACTGAGATCTGGATGCCATGCCGCTGCACTTTGGGATCTGGCGGCTGGAGTTGCTTCTCTGGACGCCGGATAATCGCCGGACTGACGGCGGCGTGGGCGACGCGGACGAGGGTGGCAGTACAAGTAGAAAGACGAACAGCAAGATCACGAAGGAGACGGCGCCAGAATCGATTGGCCGCATCTTTTCCTAGATTAAAAATTTACCAAATTCTTGACTTGGGTAGGACTTGAAAGTTGAAATCCAGAGGCTTTCCGATTTCCCCCGAGCTAAAATACTCGTTTCAATGGACTCGTGTCCTTCTGTAATCCATGGAAATTTTCACGGTAGCTGCCCTGGCGCTGCCGGATTGATGCTACTGCGCCTTTTTGAGTAAGCCGAAAGGGACATTCTCCTTTTCTTCCGTCCTTTTCTCTCGAGAAAGATAAGAGAAAGGAAGCGACGCCGTTTCAATGGAGGCGGAGAGAAAAAGAGAGAGGAGAGAGAGAAGCGTAGACGTAAGCAAGACGTAAGTCAGGAGGATGGAATAGAACACGGCAAAGCCAAAGGCCCATTACTTGGCCAAACTCGATTCAATAAGCAATCCATCATCTCAAAAAATTTGCCGATTGGGACAACGGTGGCGAGAAATATTTGCAAATTTTCTTCTCTCCGATACCAAAGTTAAGCGGCGCCTGCTCGGTTCATTTCAAATCTTCCGGTGGTTGGAGTTTATCGGCTGTTAAACCTTCTCTGTGTCTTTGGTTCAGTGGGTGTATGAGGAATTGAAGACCTGTAATTCAGATTTCATCCATAGATGGAGGGTGGCGGCGGGAGCTGGGGTTCGTATCCTCGATTTCAAGGAATCGAGGGTTTGGAGTCTACTGAGGTTTCTGCTTTTTCCCGCCGTGATCAACCTACCCCATCCTCGGAGTTTAATTCCAGTCCGGTGAGTACCCTTTTTTTCTTCTTTCTGTCTCCCTAGGGTTCTTAGGCTTTGATCGATTGGTTAGAAGAGTATAGCTGATGGAAATAGCTGTTTAGCTCGCAATTCGTTGACTTGGAGGTTCAGTTGAGCTGATCATACTGAAATCGTTGTCTTTGAATCGACACAGACCCAAATTTAGTTTCCTTTTGTCCAAAAGGCATAAGCTTTATTTGTAGGTCTGATTTGCTGATTGAACGAATTTTGTGGTAATTCCAAGCTTTATGGTGGAGGGGAATTTGAGAGCTGTGGATTGTTACTTATTGCTTATTAGGAAGAAGTCCTTGTAGTTGAAAGTCTAAGCAAGCCAGAATTAAGCTGCACTACAGCATTTATTTTGGTTTTCGTCACTCCCAGTATGTTTCTAGTTATATCTCCGCCATCTGAGGTCTTATTTTCATCTAATTTGATGATATAGGACAATGGACGACTTGAAAATCTGAAGCATCATGATGTAAACGGTACTGGAGCTGGACAAAGTAGCCTAGGGAAGACTGAATTGGAAGACGCCGATATTGGACTAAGGAATGACGAGAGAACTGAATCAAATGCTGGGCTTCAGAAGCAAGGGAAATACTTCTATTATGACTTACCTCACTATGAGGAAACTGGGCCATGGATACCAGTTTCTGTTCCACCTAGGTTAGAAGGAGAACAGGAAGAATTAGATAGAGATTTCTGCCCAAATGGTGGATATTTGCCTGAAAGTGACTTGGGATGGAGTCAATTCATGGGAGGGGAAAAGGAGCTGACCATGTGGGATGTAGTACACGAGCTGTTACTTGCTGCTCGTGGTAAAGTGACTGCTATTGCTTCGGGCGATCTTCAGAAATGTAGCATTTCCTGGATATCAAACAATCTTCTAGAACAAGCTTGGCAAGAGATGGCTCAAACTCTTACGGAGGCTAATTTTGGTAACCTGAGGGAAATTCTTGAAGCCGAGCCACCACGGTGGTTGGCTGACAGCACTGCCTCTTCCTGTATGCTCTGTGGTGTGAGGTTTCATCCAATCATGTGCTCGAGACACCATTGCAGGTTCTGTGGAGGAATATTCTGTGGTCAGTGCTCAAAAGGAAGGAGCTTGATGCCAACAAAGTTCCGCACCGGGAATCCCGAACGCGTATGCGATGTCTGCAATGTAAGGCTCGAGTCGGTCCAACCATATTTGATGGATCAAGTTAGCCATGCTGCCCAGTTGCCAACCCATGACTTGACAGATCTCAGCACATTGAGATCATGGGTTAATTTCCCCTGGGGGCAGTCGATGGAGTATGAAATTTATAAAGCAGCAAACACTATTAAGGGCTACAATAAGGTAAGATCTCTATAGCTTGCTTAATTATTATGATCACGAGCTTCTCTTTAGTTCGTTCCAAAAGTTAGCTGGAGCATATTGCAAATTCTCATCTGGGTTCTTCTGGTTTATACATGGTTATCCAATCAAGGATGATTTGATTGAGTATTGGTGACAGATGTTTCTCTTAAGGGTTGTTTGAATCCTGGATTTGGCTTAAGGATTTTAGTAAAAATTCCTTGAGTAGAGTGTTTGTCAAGAAACCCTTGTTTGGTATACCAAAAAGTGGCCATGATCCTTGCATTTCCAATTTCATGTGAGGCCAAATCCATAGGTCCCTTGAATTTGACTAACCCTCCTTCTCATGTGGGTTTGCGAGGTTCCTCCCTTCATATTGGTCTCTTGGTTGAAACTAACAATCCACTTCTGCAATCACACATTCAAACAAACAACACAAAATGAACCCACGAAAGTCACAATCCATTCATTTTTGCACAATTGATCAACCTTTTGGATTCATTGATTCAAAGGACCCGTACAATCCCTTTGTTCGAAGCTTTGGGGGTTGTAAGTAATAACTGCAGGCAAGCACTGTGTCATTTTTAATTGTGTATTGGTGCTTTTCTTGATGTTCTTGCCTATTCTTGTCTTTTAGGTGGGTCGCCTAAAAGCCGAGAAGTCCATACCAGACAGAATCTTACGTCAAGCAAAAGGCCTAGCAATAATCACAGTTGTAAAAGTGGGAGTGATGGTTACCTACAATATTGGAACAGGCCTGGTAATTTCTCGAAGACAAGACGGTTCATGGTCGCCACCATCAGCCATATCTTCGTTTGGCATGGGATGGGGAGCTCAGGTTGATTATTATTATTATTATTATTATTATTATTATTATTATTATTATTATTATTATTATTATTATTATTATTATTATTCATTTTTGCATGTTGATTTGATTTGAAAGTTGGAAGTCACTCAACAATCTGCTCCACAAAGGTTTATTGGCTTCTTCACGCTTATAGCTAGCTGTAATTTTCTTGCTGCAGGCAGGAGGTGAATTGACGGACTTCATAATTGTGCTGAGAACGAGGGAAGCTGTGAAGACATTTTGTGGGAACGCTCATCTTTCGTTTGGCGCTGGTGTGAGTGCAGCAGCTGGAGCATTTGGCCGAGTTGTCGAAGCTGATCTAAGAGCTGGAGATGGTGGTTATGCTGCTTGTTATACCTACAGCTGTAGTAAAGGTACCACTTTCTTACGTAGTTATTGTGTTGATCAACAATATTTAGTCTCCTAAAGTTGTTGTTCTGACAACCCAACTCTGCATTGGAGAATATAATTATATTTTTTCGACATATCATCCTTGTGGATCTCTTGACTCTTATGCGATGGCAGTTGGACTTGGTCAACGACCTTCCTCACAAAAACAAAACTTAAAGCTAGATGGAATGGTAGTATAAAAAATCTTAATGTCTTACTATAGTTGACAATAAATTCTAGGGATAGGATGAAATAAAATTGTTCTGATGCAATCTTCATTGAATTTTGCTTAATTGTCTCTTCGAATTGGAAACTCCTTTTCTTGGTCTTCAAGTTTGTTCCATGGTTTCACGAGATCCATGTAATGGTAATGGCGGGCCTATAACCATACATCATTAAGAAGTGTGATTGTTTGCCGTATGACTGTCTGTGCAGGAGCCTTCGTGGGCTGCTCGCTTGAAAGCAGCATGGTTACCACACGGACGAAAGAGAACGCCAGGTTCTACGGGAGCCAATCTTTATCAACATCAGACATACTGCTCGGCCCTCTGCCCAGACCACCTGCTGCCGCCATTCTCTATCGCACGCTGGACGATCTGTATCAGAAGCTCACCGACTAATAGCAGCCCGAATGAGCGAAAATGAAGAACTCAACAGAGGAATAATAGCCCAGTTCCTGCAAAATGTTCTAATTGCATCTCTTTCTTCCCCCCCAGATGATCATATCATTTGATTGTAAAGCGGTCCTTTTTTTTCCCTATTTTCCCACCACCATTCTTAAATGCTCCAGGATGCATGAAAGTGATCCGGCAGTACTGGAAAACAGAATCAAATATGTACAGTACAGATTTATGTATAGAAAGGATATTATCATTCGTGGGAATCTTCTCGTTCTTCATTGATGGCTTAGGAGCTAGTAGTATATCAATGGCGGATTCAAATCATTAACAATCCCGGGCAGCTAAAAAAAAGGGAAGGGAACAATGATGATGTTCCAGAATCGTTTGCAAAAAATGTCTGTCGCCGATTTCACTATTGCACGAACATGTTTGTCCTGTCCTGTCGGGGAGCTTTTTTTTTCTCATCCACTTGGAGAACAGTGTTGGATTAGTGGTAAGTTGGGGCAATGATCGACATTATTGCAGCCAGGCCCCGCCATTGCAATCTTACTTACTGCTCGCTTTCGGTGCAGCGTAGTACAGTGCGAGTGGATTCGGTGGCCACTGGCTGTGTCGTTACCAGTTTTTGATGTTTGTATATATGAATGACGGGGACAATGGCTAAAACCATAATGACAGACACTTTTCTAGTTTTCTTTCACATCCCATGCTCTGCTGCCTCATAATTAACAAACCCACCAAGTACATACGACAGAAAGGTAATGTGCTTCTGCTTTGATTGAATTACATGGACGAAAACTCCCCCACACACCCACCCAATTCCTTCTCATTGCCAAATTGGAAGTCACACGAACGTACGATGCAGCAGGTATCGTATTGTAGTATATTAATTTCATAATAATAATAAGCTACTTCTCTCAAGTCTCAACAACAAAAAAATTGAAGAATGGAAACGAAGGGGGTGAAAAACAAAGGCATGAACACGAACCAACATCAACGGAACTGAATGGCTTTGGAGAACAGGAAAAAGGAAGACAGCTGAGATCCTACTCACTGTACGCACTCCTAACTCAGCTGCCGCCTTCCCATCCACAAACTTCCTTTCCCATCATCGCAGGAATTCGCCGACGATGACGAAACGCCGCCGGCATCCCCTGAAACACATTCGGACGAGACCAGTCTCGGTTTCTTCCTTTCATCTGCACCAAAGCTATAAACATCATTACACACCGAAGCGTTTTAGAAATTGAAAATCCGAAGCTTTGTTAATTAGTTGTTGCATATCATCTCACCTAGTCTTGGAGTTGCCGAGCGTAAGCTCGAGATCATCAGATATCAACTCCTCGTGTATCCTCTCGCCTTCCCACGGCTTCACCAACCTAGCAGCAGCATTGCTACTCCCAAAAGCAAACTCCGCCGCCATGCAGCTATCCGCCATGGGAACATCCGCGGTCTGATCAAACACAGCCGGCGAACACGTCCCGCTCTGCCCAGGCGTCCACATTCTCGACCCAGCACCGGACAAGGGCTCGTCCTTGAACCCGAACGGGTTCCGGGCCACGAGGCTGAACGTCGGGGACGATGGCCCGCTTTGTGGTATTTGGATGCCGGCTAGCCAGCCCGAATCGGGCAGCATCCCATGGCGACCGGGGCTCTGCGGGGTAGATGATGGCATCGAAGAAGGCATGAACGGGTAGTTCTGCCCGCCCCACGACGAAGGGCCGGCGGCGGATTGATCGTCCCAGTCGTTGTTGTTGTTGTTGTTGTTGCTGTGCTTGCGTGGGGTTCTGGCTGTAGGGGAACTCAGCGGCGGGGTGACCGGCGCGCTTATGGAGCCCGTGTGGATGTAGAGGCTGTGAGGGTGGTTGTTCTTGGACGAGGTTGAAGATGAGCTGGATGAGAGGTTCTTAAGCCAGGGGATCAGGGAATTGGCGTCGGCGGCGGCGTTGTTGACGTTGTTGGCTAGGTTGTTGGTGGTGTAGTGGGAGGAGATGGGGCTGGGGAAGGAAGATGAGGCGGGGCTTGGGTTGTAGGATGCGCATGGACTTGGCTGGTATGATGAACAGGGGCTTGCTGATGTTGAACCTCCCAGTATGTCCATTCTCTCCACTGGTCTACACCCCTGAAACGTTTCGAAACCAAATACAATACTATTAAATTAGTTCCAGAAATTAGTAGTATGCATTATACATGTGTTAGGAAAACTGATGAAGCAAAGCGGATGAAGGAACATATGGCAATAGCAACACCATGAGGTCTCCATCTTCAACCAAATTCATATATATCACGAACAAGTCGACAATTGCGGAACTACTTCAAATTTCAATTAATTCAATGTTTTTTTTTTGGGTAGAATTTCAATGTTTTTTTAACACATAGGATCGGTTGAATGTAATAATTTTCAAAGTGGTATTTAATATTTATAGAGCCAAATAACTCATTAAATCGTTCATGTGGTATTTTAAATCATTCATGTGGGGTGTTTGATATGTAGTATTTGACAATAACATAAGATAAAATGAGTTATTTTTAAATAACACACGGTATGAGTTAACTGTAAATAACTCACAATTCAAATAATAAATTTCGTCATCGCGAGTTATTTCCCCCAAATTACTTTGGGCCATAATAAGTAATAACCCGTACTCCATCCAAACTACCTCATAGTTTTACAGCTATCATTTTCTCTCAGCACCATTTCAAAATTTAGAACGAGTACCTAGAAGTAAAACTTCATACCAATTTCCCAGGATCGAATTTTGATTCCCGGGAAGAGAAAGAGTTAAAAATCCAGCCCTCCACACAATTTCTAATATTTTCTCAACATAATGCATAGCGGCTTCTAACCTATACGTAACTGCCACGAATATAATATGGGTCCAAATCCAATGGACAAATTCTAATCAAATGTGGCTGGCATATACTAACTTGTAGAACAAGTACTCGTTCATCAGTTAATGTCAAAGAGCGATAATTGAGATAGAAAAAAAAAAGGAGCCAAAGGGGAAGAAGGTGGGGGACTATTCAAACTGCTGCAACCATGTGGGCAGACGGCTTTGCCATGTGCCAATGCCTAGGACCTCTGCAGGCGCTACACTCATTTCACACACAGTCAAATGTGAGGAATTTCAATTTCCTATTCATGAAAACAAAAGGAGGGACACGGACAACAGCTAACGAGAAGGGCAATGCAGTCTTTTCCAGCCGACCGAAAACATAATTTAACAAGCAGAAGTGGGGGGTGGAGGGCTAATTAATTAATTTATGTCCCCAAAGAAGGAATTTATTAATAAGTGTAAGGTCACACACAACCAAAAAAAAAAAAGTGCGGTTGCACCCCACGACACGCCATGTCCTCTAAGTCCAACATACACATACATGTCCCCCCTGGGCTTAATTTCAACACCACCAATCCATCACACGCCGGACGGACGGAACAAGGGAACCAATTTTTATAAAGACAACAACAATCTCCATCACACTCACACGCTTTACTTAATAATAATAGTCTCCCCCATTACCAAACCCCACTCTCTTTTTTTTCCGCTTTCTTTTTGTCATCACCCAAAAGCACAAAACCACTACCGGCCCAAAAGTCCACCCATGAGGCCGTGAAATCATAAGCCCAATTCACACCTTACCCTGACCCAATCAGGTTAGTAATAATTGTTAGTTTTTTACCCCCCAGTCCCACTGCATGATTGCGGGAGAAAATGGTGGGGGAACAAACAGAAAGGGGGTGGTGAAAACTGAAAATGGGCCAAATGGCTACGCCAGCCTGTCCGTCCAAATGAGCTGTGGGGGTTAAAATTTTAAAATAAAGAGATAAAAAAGATAATCCGTCGTCACGTGAAAAGGGTCGGAAGGGAGGGAGGAAGGACGGGTTTGGTCCAACTGACGGACTGTACTCGCTGTCCGCACCTGGTTTACTGTTTTTCACCGTGCCGTGGGCCGAATCTTGAGATCTCGTGTTCCGTGCATCTCCATCAAACAAACAGAGAGAGAGAAAGAGAGCGAGAGCCAGCCACCCAACAAGGAAAAAGAAAAGAAAGCCTAACATAACAGACTCTGCGAAGCCGGTACGGCGACGGAGCCGATCGAATCATCGAAACGTAAGCCTTCTGATGGATTCCCCCAAACTTAATCGCAACCGTCCACATCCAAGACGAAGGAAAAAAAGTACACCGGCCCCTGGGCGGGGTGTGACGGGAAGCGTGACACGCCCTCCTCTCTCTCTCTCTCTCTGCCTCTTTCTCGTGATCATTTTTGCCGCCCGCCAGCTATCATGCGCCGAACGATCCGGCGCATTTTAGCGAAAACCGAAACGGGTTTCGTTTTCTTCCCCCCCCCACCCTACCCCAGCTCCACCTCACATCACATGATCGGAAATCGCGACAGCCACACACAACTAACAAAATAATTCGCAGATCTACCCCCTCCGTCGTCGGTCTTCTCATCAATTCGTACCGCCGGCGGACGATCTCCTGGCGAAAGCTTTCCTTTCCCGTCGCCGGCGGATCGATGGATGAGTAGTGGAGTAAATTAATTGACTAGAGGAGCCGAATTATTGAGCTAATGATTGAAGGTGCTGGCGCTAGAAGGAAGGAGATAGGAAGGGAGATACGGAAGAGTTTGTAAGCGACTAAGCGTACCTTTCTGTAAGTGGTTCCGTCTTCTTCAACGGTCCATCCAGCTTCGTTGCAGAGAGCTTTGAGGACTTCGTTGTTGTCGCAGTGCTTCGGGAGCTTGTAGTTCCCGTACATCCTGAGCCCGGAGTAGATCTTGGCGGCGATCGCTCTCCTCCGCCGCTCTCTCCTCTTGTTGTTCTCCCTCTCCTTCCACGTCGGCATTCTCGAGCCCGACGTCATTCTTTCCAGTCTCCCCTCAATTGCTGTACTCGACCACAGAAGGAGACCGAGCAGCCTCGACGGTAATCGATCGGCAGGAAGAGCTCGGTCGCTCGCCGCGGCTTCCACTAGTTCAGATGGGAAGCCAAGCCAGAAGGAGACGGAGCGAATCGGCCGGCCGAGCTAATGGAAGCGGATTTGGCGGGTTTTCCCCCCTCGTTTACTTTTTATTTTGGTTTTTTGCGTTTGGGTGAGGGGGAAAAGAATTGGGCAAGTTAAATGGGAAGGAGGAGTGAGTTGGGAGGGAGGGAGATGAGCTAAATACAAAGGGGAGTACACAGTAATCAGTAGAAGTGGGAATTCAACTCAACATTTGGGGGAGACGAAATTACAGGATTGCCACTAGGGGAAGGCTTTATTCCGGGATCACGGTGTTAGCACGTGTTTAGGCTTTTTATAAAGGGAAAGGGCCAAAAATGTCTTGCGTTGCGATGCCCTGGGCCTGGGTGGGGTTCGCGGCAACTGCTAATGTTATGGCTTCACACTATTATTTTGGTCACCTATTATCGTGCTATTTTTTTTTCCTTTCTTATGTTGTAATTTACGATTTTCTTTGGCAAGTAAGTATACTTTTAAAATTTTTATGAGGGTTTTAAATTTTTGGGTAATATTTATTTTTTATTTAAATTTTTTTCAGATTTTTTTTATTATCTAAACCTATTAAAATGACATTAATTATTCAAATATTTCATAATGCATCAATATATTAGCCATTTTTACGTTATCGTTAATAATTTTGTAACTCTTTTTTTAGTTACAATACTAAAATTTTGGAATTTGACCTTCACGTGTCTCTTCCAAGTCAGTAGCATGTTGCTGATGAACCACGCAGCCCACGACGATCAGCTCGAGCCCACCAGCCCAATCCACGATCCACGTCAGAGGAAAGAATCCGCTGCAGCTTGCCAGTAGTTATATGTTATTTATTTGTTATTATTTGGTTCTACTTGTTGAACGAGTCTTTGGAGTTTGTTAGCTTAATAACCTCACTCCACATAAGGTGGACATGGAGATAGAGTCCAACTAGGTTAGCTGAATTGTAGGCACTTCTTGTTTCGGTTTGAATGGCCTTAAAAGGCAAGTACGTTAATTGAATAAGGCAAGCAGATATTAGCAAAGAAAAACCCTGGTAATCCCTCGCCAAGAAAAGAGTGAACTTGCTCAATCCCGCCAAGAAAGTGGATCCATTCATTCTTACAATTTCAGTCCTTATCATTTGGTATCAGAGCCCGGCATGGGCACCCACGCACAGCGACTCGAGACTCTCGAAGCCGTCGAGACTAGCAATCCACAAAACTTCCAACCCATTCAAGATCAGCTGGCCGCACTTCAACTTGCCATGACCCAGCTCGCTCAAGCCACCACTGCCAAGAACGCTGCTCCACCGTCTAAGGAGGGGGATAGGTTCGTCAATGGCGCTTCATAACACTCGAATCACAACGATTGCGGCAAACAACCGTTCTTCGGAGCTAAGCTCTCCCGCCTTGAATTCCCATCCTTTGCCGGCGACGATCCGATAGTCTGGTTTTCTCGGGTCAAGCAGTTCTTCGAATTCCAAGATATCCCGGAGGAACAAAAAGTTAATCTCGCATCCTATCACATGGAAGGCGATGCTAACTAGTGGTGGCAATGGCTGCATCGGACGTACCAAACGAAAGGGCTAACAATCACCTGGGACGTTTTCTCGTCTGAGCTCTGGACTCGATTCGGCGGCACCACGGGGACCGGCTTTGATGAGGCTCTCTCTCGCATACGTCAGACCGGGACCTTGAAGGATTATCTCACCGAGTTCGAACGCTTGGGTAATCGCGTTCACGGCTGGACTCAACGAGCTCTCGTCGGGACCTTTATGGGGGGTCTCAAACTGGTGATTGCTGACGGGATCCGAATTTTTAATCCTAAGTCCCTGAAGGATGCGATAAGCCTCGCTCGGGCTCGCGAAGAACAGCTGAATGATCACGGCAGCCCTTTCGATCCGCCATGGACTATGCCACACCGCCATGGCCCAAGCCCAGGTCCACATTCGACGCGTCCTTCGCATCTCGATCTCGGCCACCTCCAGCCGCTGATGTCGGCCAAAATCATCCGCCCCAACCACCTCCGACAGCTACTAATTTCCGCGCTCGACCACCAGGTTTCAAGCATCTCAACTACAAGGAGATGCACCAGAGACGCCAGTTGGGGCTTTGTTTTAACTGTGATGCACCCTACTCCGCTACCCACCGATGTCCAGGAGATAGACTGTAACACCCTACCCTGCATGTTTTGCCTAATCATATTGTTCATACAATTGCAGCGAAATTTAAAAATGGTGTTACATTAATTACCAAAATTTACCCAAATAAAATTTCGACATGAATTACTCGCGTAATGGGCTAACAGTTCTTGCATCTAATCCTGCAAAAGAATTCATCTGAGTCCATGCATCCATAGACAAACATATATACTCACAGCCATATGCATTGACTTTTCATAGCCATAGTCACAGTTTCATACTCCATAACTGCTTACCATACTCATCACAACTTACACAATTACACAAATATACACATATCATCAACTTTCCACACCTGTGGATATCTCACACTACATCAGAAGCTAGTATGCACATGAAAAACGTTCTCAAAACATTTTTACAAAAAGGTGTGGATCATTGGCCAAAATCCCAAGTAGTCGTCCAAGCATAGAATAGTTGAAGACAATACCTCATTCTGCCTTCAACTCCTAGCTCTGCTCACACCTATGTACTTGCTATTGCTACTGCTGATGATCTGCTTACACATAGCATAAGCAGAAGAAAAGAATAAAAGAGGGTTAGCTCATGGCTGAGTGAGATAATCATAGCATCGTGAGTTGATAACAAAGCATACCCCTACCATACATCTAACAAACAAGCCAAAGCACTAGGATCAGACCTCAGCCATCCGACATCCCAATAGGCAAAAGACTCAACCACCTTGACTTATGCATATGCATCTTATCATGTTTTAATCATAGGCGCCTGGCTACTCCCATGCTAATTACTCTCCCAGGAATGCGGACCAAACATCTCGTGGATGTGGTCATATCGGACCCACCACTGCCGGTGTAGTCATATCGGACCTGATATCACTCTAGGTGTGGTCATATCGGAATCAACACCACTCTGGGTGTTGTCATATCTCATGATGAATCAACGGTCAACACCACATCAGGGGTGTGACATAACATATCATAACGGAGTAATAGCATGGGGAGTCCTAATTACTATGTAATTTACCATGAGACCAAAGTACTCTTACTTGGTATCCTTATACATGATCCATATCTCATCTTGCTTAATCATAATTCATTACTTGGACATGTTCTTGACCTGGCCACAATTGGCTCAACATAACCAGGAGTCATATAATTGCACTTCCTCGGGATAAACCCTCGTGCAAGTCATCCTCCTTAAACATCATAATATCACCATGAGATATATGTTTTCCCACTTGTGCATCCAAATGCAATAATCATGAAAAATCATGCTCAATCACCTTCTCAAACTATCATAAGGCATATCCACAATTAAACCCACATCTGGCAACATGTATGCAATCATCAACATAAATAAGGTCCATATCGATTAGGGCAAGTCAATAATATCATACAACAATCCATGGTTCATCATATAGCATAAAAGTCCATACACCCCTAATCATGCCATTCTAGTTCACCTAGGTCAATTCCAAGCATCAATATATAATTATCGTGATACGACAAACCCGGTATGCCGTGCTAATCCCTCACCAGTTCTGATCGTTCAAACACCGGTTTTAGCTTCTCGTACTAAAACTTGGATTTTCACAAAAAAAAACCAGAATCAAAATCCGAGACCGTCCTTGTAAGTTGTATCCCCTGCAGTGTCCCCATCAATATTAGTTCTAGCCTCCGGGTCAAACTCTCGATAAAAACACATCAAACCCTAGTCGGAGCTAAATTCAGCGATTCCGGCTCCAAACTAAATAATAGACGAAATTCATGAATTAGAACCAGAGTATTAATTACCTCGCTGCAAGAAGCTCGTATATGAAATCTGGGGTTAATCCAGCTTCCGGATCCTCCAAAACCTTAATTTGGCTTATCGGGAATTCAAGAAACTCCTGGACCAAGAACTCATTTTAAAGCTCTAAATCGGTAAATCACGATGAATGGATGAATTAGTCATTACTTACGAGATTTTTGGATCACTGTAGCTCAAGAATTGAGCTTTGGAATTTTTCCCCAGTCGCTCCCCTAAACTCTCCGCGCGCTGCTCTGCTCTCGGTAGTGGAAATGGAAAATGATAATGGGGAAAGGTAAATGGACCGGTGGGGGAAATATAAGCTCCCCACCGCTTGCCCTTTTTTTTAATACGTATAATTATTCGATCGATCGATAATCCGATTTTCGTCGAAATACTATCAAAACCCTCGATTTTAATCGCATAATTTTCCTAACGACAGTAATACGATTTTAGCCAAAACGGGATGTTACATAGACTATGGATGATGTTGGACGATGAAGATGAGGAAGATATGGAGGAGGCTGAAGTGTCGCTCAACGCAATAACAGGACTAACGAGTGGACGAACTCTCTGTGTTTGGCGAACATACACGGAACACATTTGATGGTCCTTATCGATAGCGGATCAACACATAATTTCACTAGCACTCGTGCCACCAAATTGCTTCATCTGCCCGTGGCATCCAATGCGGTCAAAATCGCAGATGGCACACCACTTAAATGCATCGGCAAGCTTGAACAAATCCCACTCCGCATACAAGGAACTGATTTCTGTGTGAATCTTCACACCATTCCCATTTCTGGGTTTGATATAGTTCTTGGGGTCCATTGGCTTGCTACGTTAGGCACCGTCCAAAGTAATTGGCATATACTGGAGATGGAATTCTTTTGGGAGGGACAACTGCGTAAGATCAAAGGGATTCATCGCATCCCACAAAAGGCGGCTAGCTTTGAAAGTATCATTAAGGAAGATCACACACTAATGGCTGTTTGCGTACCTGCCGCGGTGCTCGATCCTCTCCAACAGGTGCCTCCTAATCTTCAAGCCCTCATCCACGAGTTTGGGGACATCTTCGAAGAACCCCGGCAGCTGCCAGCGCAGCGCACCATTTATCACAATATTCCCTTGAAGTCGGGTGCAGAGGTCGTTAACGTTCGACCCTATCGCTACAAGTATTTTCAGAAAACAGAGATCGAAACCCAAGTAAATCATATGCTCGCAGCGTGACTTATTCAACCATCGACCAGTCAATTTTCCTCCCCGGTTCTCTTGGTCAAGAAGAAGGATGGAACGTGGCATTTTTGCACGGATTATCGGGCTCTCAATCTCGTCACCATCAAAGATCGCTTCCC